AAATTGCCAGTCATCGTGCTTGAAAAAATATCCATTTTTGTAAACATATGAGATGTTCTAAAATAAAACATTAATATTCATTAAGAGATCATCATAATAAGTTATTTATAAAATATTGATTATGTATCTTAAAAATATAAATAATATGCCTCACCTTAATATTGTTGGTGTGGTCTGGTAACTATATGCACGTCAATATTTTTCTAAATAAATCTATCACTGCCTTAAAGCATTGATTATAGCCATCAGATGCAAATAATCGGGCATTATGTCTCTCGATATAAAACCTCTGTCATCCACAATATTTTTGTGAGTATAAACTAGATGAATAATCTTATTCTTCAATGTGGAATACACAGTTCAGAGTCTCCAGTCGGACTATCAATCACAACCAATTTATATAAATTGTTTCATAATCTCTCATACCAGATACCCCTGTCTGACTGAGAAACTTGTTTACCTGGCCTTCTGTTATACAGATTTGTGATTATCCGAGCTACCAATTGCAACAAATTTATATGTATGTACATACCTAAAAGGCAAATTTAACTAATTTAGACTTGTTACCTATTTATTTCTTAGTACTTACTGAATGCATATCTTGAACAAATTATTCATACATATGTACCTAAATAATTTATTTCAAGATTAATGGTTAATGTACATGAATGTGTGCACATACATAAGTGTTAATTACTTAATAAACATTGTTTACTATCTATGAATTTGTTATTTTTAATAAACAACAAAATTCTACATACCTTTGATTATCCGGATTTTCAATCATTAGAATTCCTATCGAGTTTCCACTGCACGTGTCATTTGTTCTTACAGTAGGGCCGGCGCATTTATTAATATTTATTATGTTTGTATATGTAATATTTTCTTAATATTAGCATTTATTTCCAGTCTCCACACATAGTGAATCTGTAATAATAAGTGAGAAACTTTATTTATAATACAAACCAATTTGTAAATTCCAATAATTCAATCTTGTATGGAAAGGCATCTTCATCAGAATTCTGACATAAACGAGCACAAATGTCTAAATTATTATAGTAACTTACAGAATCTTGGGGCTGTCTACACAAAAGTCTAAGTTACTATTAACTGCTATTAATTAATTAATTATTACATTGTCTACGATTACTTTAATAGCTTGCTGAAACTCGTGTACTCACAAAAACAAAATAAAACTTTAACCTCAATACACTTCGGCATTTGGACCATAGATGAATAAACAAAAATGGATTAGATGATCTTCTAGGAGTGTCAGTGTCGCCAACTCAAACATCCGCTCTGTGTGTGACTACAGCGCCGTATAGGGAACGGGCAAGCTCATAAAAATGTCAGTGAAAACGCCATGACTTCTCGGGGTGGCGAAAAAGTGCAAACAAGGATTCCAAACAAGATGGCGTTTGACAGGTTTTATTTCGTATTTTGACAGGTTTTATTCAAACTTATGTGCTTGTTAAAGATGGTTATTGCTTCTTATAATCGCAATTTTTATTTATTTCTAATAATAATGCAGCATATCTGAGTCACCAATCATGTGCGTATATTAAGTGAAGAAAGCGCATGAATAAGAAAGTGAATTTTCTTATAATTAACGTTAGAAGAAATAAATTGCTTCGTTGGATAGATTCATTGAGGTATGTACTCATAATTAAAATGTATTTGCTATTGACCACCATATTAAAACAAACATGTGTTGCTTAAAGGTATGATAAAATTTTCAGACAAGGCCATAAGATATTTTATGATTTGCATGTTGTGTTATCAGCTGAACAAAGTTTAGATCTTTCTATAAGTACTTTGTTGCAGAATGAATCTCATATTTGATAGGATGTCAGGACTTACAGGATTTCTACACTGCAATTTGATTTGATTTAATTGTTTTGTATTATTGCATTACTGCAGGTATGTTTTGTTTTATTGCATAAAAAGATATTACTTTTAAAAGTTTTAGGAAGCTATTGTATCAGTATATGCACGGTTGAAGAATTTCTCCAAAATTTTATACCGATGAGCAGTATTTGCTAATATTGATAGAAGAGGGACTCCTCCATAGATTGGTAATTATTTGTGTGAATTTAATATTACATACCTGTTAAAATTTTATACTTTAAATTATATGCTCTCAATGTTTTTTCTTTCAGATTAATTTAGGTACATATAAGAAGTATTCATCATTGATTTCCAAAAGCTTTCAATTTATGTATTACATATAACATTTATGTACAGTTAATATTATTATACAAGCTAACAGTCATGATACATATATATTTAATCTAATATAAATTAACATTTCTTTCATTTACCATCCCCATCTTATCCAATAATGAAAGTTTGAAGATTCACCAAAATAGGACATAAAAAAACAATATTTTCACCAGAAAATTGATAGTCCTTTGGTATATTACATAGAAGTTTTAAAATTTTCATTCTGTGTATGACTCATTCTACATGTATACGCACACTAGCTTCAAAGTGAGTTTAATTAATATCTCCTGGTGAAAGTAATCCGTTTTAAATTTAATTTTAAACAAATAGCATATGCACAGTACGTATATAGCAAGTACTGCTATATTTATTAATTTGTCTAACTCAGTCCATATTGATGAAAATCCTGACTATAAAGTACAATTAAAAACTTTGTCTTTTTTACTCATGAATTTACCTTTGTCAGTTAATACAGCACATCCAGATTTTACTTTTTTTTATTACGCCCGAGAGTACATTAATTTGGGTTGGAGTGATTCTGCCTAAGCCCACATTATTAACAAATGAAATAAAGCCATCTGGAGTGCAAATAAATAAGAACCTACTTTCAAATACCCTGGAAACTACCAACGAATGAATCTGAAAAGTAAAACCTAAAGCAATATAACTAATTTCTAACTTTCATAATTAGTGTTTTCTAAGAATCAAACTCACAAATGGATTTTTAATAATGTTTTTATGCATGTAAATATGATCATTTAAGCAAATATTGATTTAATTTACTAAAGCCTCTTCAAACTTTGAACTTTCAATATTTTTCTGATTGAATATCCTTCCTGAATGTAAATAGTATGCATATTGGTAGTAGCAAACAAAATTTATATTTTGAATTTCATTATTCTTACCTCTGTTATTGTAAAATCATAAAAAATAAATGATGAAAATATGTAAGAAATATGAATTATTAAATGTTTAACCTAAAAATGCACGTTTTACGTCAAAACAAATATTAGTTGACAGCAAATTCAACTCATAAATGTGTCATCCGCCATATTTGTTGGAATCCAAGTTGCACTTAAAATCCGCTAGAGGAGAGCTTGCCCGTTCCCTATTACAGTGCTAAATATGAACTACTAAACGCTATGGTGTTTTTATAAGTTTGTTAAAGAAAAAAGATATTAAAGAAATGTTATAAATAATAAAAAACAAGATAATGATAGCTGAATGGTTATTGAAATTATTAAATTTACTTCAACGTACTTAAAACATAGTTGAGTATAATGATCAAATAAATAAAGGAATGCCTTAAACATTTATAAGATTGATTTGCTTAAAACTTATGTCAAAATATTGGAATACTTCCTAAAAACTAATAAATAATAATGATAAAAATATTTTCTTAATGGAATAAATAAACTAGTGGTGTATGGCGTCGTGCCTTAACATTTAATATTCCTCGAACATTTTGTTACAGTACGGGGAGTCCCAGCAATTTGCCTTAAGGCACGATGCCTTACACCATTAGTTGTATTTTAAGTTTGAAAATTCAGTTTTTATTTAAAGCAATCGCACTGCGTAACTGTTTTAGCAGATGAAATAATATAGCATGCAAGCGCAAAACTTTATATGCACCTTTACGTTTTAAACCCTTCTGAACATTTAAATTTATAATAATATTTGTTTGCTAATAATTTTATCGGACAAATAGAATCTTACAGGCAATATTATTAGAGTATACGATTTTATAAATATTTTAAATATATAAGCAATAGCCATAGATAAAAGAAGAGTACAGCTACAATTACAAGTAAGAGGACAAAGTTACAGCTGAATAAATTCTCTGAAACATTTTCTCATCATTTTCTTACATAAAAATTATGTAAAATTTCTGCATATATTTTTAAAATAATTTTGTAATTGCTTAATGCTGAAAACGTGTCGGAAATTTTGTGGTACAAAGACATTTTTCAGTGTTTTTATTAATAACTTTTAAATTACTTTCTATAACTAAATACTATTCTTAAGAAAATTGTAGCTGAATAAATTCTCTAAAACATTTTCTTAGACAAAAATCTTGTACAATTTTTTTACTTCTAAACTTCTGTTTAATATTAAATACGGTCTTAGAGAAAAGCTATTTCTGACCAATTTGTATTTGAAATTTAAACCAATGTTTACTAATCCACATTAATAATACTTAATTTATAAAAATTAAAATATGAATAAAAAACTATGAAATAATATTGATATTATGTAATGTGTACTGTATATTTCATACTATTTATACATTCCATTAGATGGAAAAAAAAATTACAATATTTAAATTTAAGTGAACAAATATGCTTATGTTTCATTGATCTTTATCACGCTTCTGACTTTGAAGTGCCATGAGTCTATTCAAATCTTTCGATTGAGTAAATTCCTTACTACATACTTCACATTTATCAGGATGCTCTCATTTATGAATCAGCATGTGCCTTTTCAAATTACTTGTTTGTGTAAATTTCTTTTTGCATATACTGCATTCATGAGGGCGTACTTCACTGTGAATAAGCATGTGACTTTTCAGATGACCTGATTGTGTAAATTTGTTTTTGCATATATTGCATACATGGGGTCGTACTCCACTGTGTGTCAGTACGTGACTCTTCAGATTAGTTAATTCTGTGAATGTCTTTTTGCATACATTGCATTCATAGGGACGCTCACCACTGTGAATGCGCATGTGACATTTCAGATTATATGAATGCCTGAAGGTCTTATTGCAAATATTGCATTCATGTGGACGTACTCCACTGTGTATCAGCATGTGACTTTTCAAATGACTTAATTGTGTAAATTTCTTTTTGCATATATTGCATTCATGAGGGCGTACTTCACTGTGAATAAGCATGTGACTTTTCAGATGACTTGATTGTGTAAATTTCTTTTTGCAAACGTTGCATTCATGTGGACGTACTTCACTATGTATCAGCATGTGTTTTTTCAGACAACCTCTTTCTGCAAATGTCTTATTGCATATATTGCATTCATGAAGACGCTCACCAGTGTGAATGAGCATGTGTCTTTTCAGATAATTTATTGTAGTGAATGTCTTTTTGCATGTACTGCATTCATGGACGCGCTCACCACTGTGAATGAGCTTGTGCCTTTTCAGATTAGCTAATAGACTGAAAGTCTTATGACAGAATTCGCATTTGAAAGGATTTTCTTTGCTATTATTAGGCATATGTTCGATCGTATGCTCTTTTAAATGATCTGATTCTGCAAATGATCTGTTGCAAACATCACATTCATAAGTTGATGTCTCGACTAACTCCTGTTTGACTTCTTCTTCAATTTTCACCTCGGAATTCATAAATCCTTCTAAACACGTATCATCACCTTCAGAACACGATTCAGATTTAACAATAACGTCGGGATCAACAAAATCATCCTCTATTTCGAGTTTAATGTCTTCTGGTGAATATTCTGGTGGTTCAAGTTTAATTGTCTGATCATTCATAGACATAATTGTTTCCTCCGACATTTTTAAATAGTTTCACAAAAAAAATTAGAAAATAGTTTGCGCTAATAATAGTCTAGTTTTATGAATATTCTTTTTTCAATATGATAAATGATTTCAACTGAATTTACATTTATTATTTGACATTTGGAGCATAGAGAGTATATTTCTAGAAAGATGAGACATTTATCGTGCGCGCGTCTTTTCAAATTCTTTATGGTTCTATTCATAGATAAAAGAAAAGTATGAGTCCTAGCTACTTTCCAACATTTCCAATGTTATTTATCTATGTTTCCAACAACATTTTTTTCAATTTACAAGTCTCGAAAATTTAATATAGTTTTTTTCCTCATGGTCATTGTTTCCGGCTGGAATTTTATTTGATGGGTAATGGACTCAAATCATGTCTTTATAACAATGTCCGTCTTTAGTATGACGAAAAGAAATTTAAAAAATCAGTAAATTATATATAATTTACTGGTTTTTTAAATTTCTTTTCGTATTATAATATTATAATATTATTTACTTATTCTATTTATAAAATATTTTTATCATTATTATAATTTTGGTTTTGAAAACTATTCCGATGTTTTGACATAAGTTAAGCAACACAACCTTAATAATTTTAACTGTATATCTTTATTTATTTTACTGTACTTACCTGTGTTTTAAGTGCATTGAAGTAAATTTTAAAATGTCAATGACTATTCAACTTTAACTTTTTTGTCATTTTTTTAAATTTAATTTTATTCTATAAATATAATTACATTTAGCAGAGAATGCTGACAAGTTGTTTACAATTTATTGTTTACAAATTTGTAGATACCCCCAGTGGCGTATCTACTAGAGCTAGGGTCCGGCACTCGAAGTGTATCCAATTAAAAAAACCATAAATTCAGTTTGGAAAATTACTTTCACTCGATTCAAAGTACAAAATATGTAAAAATAATACAAAACTTAAAAACAATTCACTTTTGCTATATATGAACACCTTTTCCTTTGACTATCCAAAAACGAATCGCACCTGGCCGAATATGTGACTTGCAGGTATTTAGGCCCACTGGCGGACAACGACTTTTAAGCGCCTTGAGACTGATGTACCTTTTAGTTCGGACCATAGATAAAAGAAGAAATTGTCTTTTTAATCGGGCCCTGGTAGAGTTGTTTTGAAGTTTTCTGGCGATCAAGTTTGGGTGATCAGCTAGTCGAATCACAAGAAAAGGATTTTAAGGTTGGATAGTTTCCGGCAAATGCAAACCTTTTTTTAAACGTTTTCTCACAGGACGTATTCCACAATGCACTCCTTTTACATGTTGTCTTAATGCATCTATTATTGGAAATGCTTTATTGCAAATTCCACAACTATAAGGACGTTCCCCAGTGTGAATCATTTTATGTCGACTTAATGATGTTTTCGCTGTGAATGTTTTATTGCATATTTCACAACTATAAGGACGCACTCCGGTGTGATAAATCTCATGTAGTCTTAATGATCTTTTTGTTGTGAATGTTTCATTGCATATATTGCACTTATGGGGTCTTTCTCCAGTGTGAATTGCTTTATGTTGTTTTAAATTCTGCTTTATTTTGAATGCTTTATGACATATTTCACAACTGTAAGGAAGTTCTACAGTGTGAATCATTTCATGCTCTTTTATATGACACTTTATTTTGAATGTTTTATTGCATATTTTGCAACTAAAAGGTCCTTCAGTATGCTTTGATGACTGATGTGTTCCAGTATGAATCTTTTTATGTGTGTTTAATGATGTCCTTCTTGAAAATGTTTTTTTGCATATTTTACATTCATGTCTTTCCTCAGTGTGAACAACTTCATGTTGTTTTAAATATCGTTTTGTTGCAAATGTTTTATGACACATTTCACAACTGTAAGGACGTTCTCCAGAGTGGACTTTTTTATGTTCGCTTAAATTTCCACTAAATGTGAATGTTTTATTGCATACTTTACATTTGTAAGGTCCTTTTTTAGTAAAAATAATAGCTTTATGTTCATTTAATGATGCTTTTGTTTGATGATTATCGCTAAAATTACTTAAATTACTGATTTCTTCAATAAATATGTAAGATTTTTCATCTAAACTTGTATTAGTTGCAGCATCATGCCCATTGATTTTTTCTTGCTTCATTTCCTCATCAATCGTAACCTCAGATTTTAGAAATTGCTGAGGCATATTTCATCATTCTCCATACTCATATGTGATGTGCATTCATAATCATCAAATTCTTGTTTCACTTGAAAATCTTGCTCATCGATCCTTTCTTGCTTTATATCCTCATCAACAGTAACCTCTGATTTTAGAAATTGCTGTAGACAAATTTCATCATTCTCCATACAAATACTTGTGGTGTTTTCATAATCATCTAAATCTTGTTTAACTCGAGAATATTCGATCGGTTCAATTTTAATTGTTGTGGTTGAATTTGTTTCTTCAGACATTTTTGACGTTTGAAGGTTATTGTAAAGATGTCTGCTTAAAAGTCGAAAAGCCTTTTAATTTATGCGTTATGAACATATAATAAATATATTTTGATATTTATTGATTCGTTTGTATTTTAATATGTTATAATACTAACACTGACCTTTTTATTTTTATTTTATATTTTCGTTTGCCTCATTTACGCACCTTCACAATTTGACATTTCTTCTTCGTTTTCTATGACGTTTCTACTGATTGGGCAACACCAACACATTTCAACTGCGAATTAAACGGCGCAAAAATTTGAAATTATATATTACGTAGTTAAATGGAAAGTTAGTCTGATATTAGTTTAAAATTATTAACTTCCCGTAAGTTATAGTAATCGCAAAAAAAATCGAAAATGAAAATGTTTATATATCTTTACGTTTCAGAGGTTTTTGAATATTTTGGCATACCTTAGAAAAAATGGATGTATGTGTGTGTGTGTGCGTGTATCTGTGTGCGGATACAAATTTTCGTCGACGATTTCGGGAACACGAATGAAGCGATTTGAATAATTCAAAAAACATTCGATTCGTATTGATAAGGAGACGTGCTGATTAGTTTTTGGCGAAGGCAGGTCTAGCCGTTCCGAAGATATGGGGCAAAAAGTGCCAAAAACGGTAACTCAGGTTTTAGGAGAACGAAGCGTCCGATTTGAATAATTCAAAAAACATTTTACTTGTATTAACAAGATAAAGAACTGATCAAATTTTCATAAAGGCAGGTCTAGCGGTTTCTGAGATCTAGTAAAAAAAGTAACAAAAAATCTGGCGGTCAAAAATGATCATTAGGCATATGCACATCAAATTATCAGATATTTTATAGACATTTTAACAATAAGTATAAATTTTGTTTACATTCCTATGGGTTCCGTACCAATGCTTGACCGTTAGACGGCGGCGCGGCGCTTACGCGCTTTGATATTTTGTCTCTATGCAGTTAAAGCAGTACTATTGCTTTGAAAAAAAGTTCAGAATTTTCAAAATATTCCAAAATACACTTTTCTTCAAAAAGCCTTTTTGTCAAAAATTTATAGTTTCTCAAAAATCTAATTTTTCAGAGTAAATTTTTTTTCTAAAATGTTAATCTTTAAAAAAAAAATAATTTTTGGTACGGAAAGTTCCAGCAATTTGCCTTAAGGCACGATGCCATGCCCCACTAGTTTAAAATTTTATTTTTATTGAATCATTTAGTGTTGAATTTCCCAAACTCTTGAGAATGCTTTGATAAACTAAGATATGGTATACCCACACATTGTTTTAAACATAAAGGGTGCATTCGACTTGGACGCTTACGCGCTGTGAGCGCTCACGCTTATAAGCACGAATTTTTAGCGTTCGACTAGGCCGATAAGCGCTCAGAATCGATAACTAAATTCCGTTCGTTTTAGATACTGTGAGCGTCAATAAGCATCAAAATGGCGGCAACTGGCGGTAACGGTAATTGTGTAAATTTTATTACTTTCTGGATCATTCAGCGGGATTATAAAGAATTTAACAATTAATAAATAAATTAAATTTGGTTAGCTTATGCTTAATTAATAGTAATATTAAAATTAAAATTTAAAATTATTTAAAATTAATTGAATTTAAAATTAATTAATTTAATATTAATATTAATACTAAAAAATAAATGTGATATACAACTTGGCATTTTTGCGAGATTATAAAGAATTTAATAATTAATAAATAAATGAAATTTGGTTAGCTTATGCTTAATTAATAGTAATATTAAATTTAAAATTATTTAAAATTAATTGAATTTAAAATTAATTAATTTAATATTAATATTAATACTAAAAAATAAATGTGATATACAACTCGGCATTTTTGCGGGTTTATAAAGAATTTAACAATTAATAAATGAATGAAATTTGGTTAGTTTATGCTTAATTAATAGTAATATTAAAATTAAAATTTAAAATTATTTAAAATTAATTAAATTTAAAATTAATCAATATTAATATTAATATTAAAAAATAATTGTGGTATACAGCTTGCCATTTTTGCGGGATTATAAAGAATTTGACAATTAATAAATAAATGAAATGACAGATAGTAAAAACAACTGACGCTCACGCTCACGCTGCCCTACCTCTGTGGCGTGAGCACGTATGAGCGCAAAATATGTGCTACGAGCATCCCACGATGGTGCTACGACATAGACCTTACACAATTGTATTGTATAAGGCAGCGATGTCCAACCTAAATTACTCTTTGGGCCAAAATTTAGGAATATACAAGGCACTGGGCCGCAACAAACTGAAAAAACTAGTGGTGCATGGCATCGCGCTCAATTGATGGAACTTCTCGTAACTACCGTAATTCCAAACTTTTAAAAGCTTTAATTTTTTGAAAACTTTGAAAAAATTAGATTTTTGAGAATCTTGAAATTAGTGAAAAAATTTACTATTTTGAAAAAAATGTTTTTTTGTATTTTAAAAGTGTTTGAAAATTCTTTTTTTTTTTCAAAATAATCGTATATAAACATTTTTTCGTTGATAACTCCTCTAGTGAATGACTCGTGAACTAGTGTTGCCCACTCGTCCATAGAGCCGCTAGTCTCCCGTTGTCCGTTGTGTTGACAATTATTTGTCGTTATCTGTCAAGCGCTATCCATAGAGTATCATATCGCCATCTATCTTAATTCGATTAATGACCATTACCACGGGGTATTCTAATATTGTCTAGGGACCATTACTTTCGGTTAAAGCTGACTTAGTGTTCAGACTTCTATATTAGCCTTTACAAAAATTATTTTATTTATTTAAATTAAAAATAATAATTTGTGCGATTGTTGTTTGTCATGGGGCCGCACAAAAATCGCCATCGGGCCGCATGCGGCCCGTGGGCCGCGGGTTGGACATGGCCGGTATAAGGTCTATGTGCTACGAGCGTACTTATGTGACACTCACAGCGCCAAGTCGAACGATGAAAGCGCGCTCACGGCGTGCTCACAGCGCGTAAGCGTCCAAGTCGAACGCACCCAAAGTGCTCAATCATAGAACGGACTGTGACGTCACATGTCTGAGCGAACATAGCCGACGGCAATCGCGGACTCCTCTCGATTGATTAATTGTCATATGTCATATGTTTTATTGAATTATATAAAGGCAATTTGATAACTAATGATTTTGTAAGAAATGGTATTAATAATATTTATCATAATAGTTAATTAATTCAAATATTTGTGATAGTTTTATTTTAACTAGTTGAAAGTGGCTTTAGCCTTAAGGCAACTAAAATTGAGATTCAGATATTTATATAAAAATTTCAACTAATTATTTCGAAACTACAGTTATCGCTTTAAATTAAATCTAAACATTGCGATTTCGAACAGAATTTTTTCAAACACATTTGAAGTATTTCTAATTAGTTAATAATATTGCACGGACACGTGCTTTGTATGTCCTAAAATTCCAGCTCATTATATCCACATTTTAATGAATTGACGATGTTTGACTCATCGCATCACAAAAGCAACTTTTGACACAAATTTTTAATATAATATTTTTTCAAACTTTGATGAATTTTTAAAGTTAAACTAACTTGCAGTGGGTGCGTAAAATTTTAGTATGCTGTTCAGAATCGTGATATCTATCAACATAAAAAGTTTCATCAAAAAAATTTTTTAACAGTTATTTACAAAGAACCGGCTCGGCCGATCTCTGTCCAAAACTAAGTAGGACAATTCAGGATTGTGAGCTAAAACGTGGACGAGAAGTATTACAATTTTATGCAAATTACAAAAAAAACTGCTATCGAGATACATGCATTTTAGAGAAAATGTTGATTAAAGGTCTAATTTGACAAACGCCCAAAAAACGCGATTTTTCTTTTAAACTCTGACGAATCTTTGCCAAAAACTAATCAGGTCGATTCCCAACTAATATATCTTACCAACGGTTTTTGAATTTTCAAAATCGATTGCGAGCTAAACGTGGACGAAAAAATTTTCACTTTTCTGCGATATACAAAGAAACGGCTCAGCCGATCGTAGCACAAAACGTAGTCTTGTCGAGATACATCAAATGATTTTAGCTGGAAGTACTAAAACATAGTCAGATGGTTTTTTGTTTGATTATTGGTTGTTATGTTTTTCGTTTAGTTTTCACAATATATAATTGCTCAAAGTTAAATTGAACCCGCTTACCTATATATGTGTTTTTTTTAATAATCTGGGTCTTGATGTGAGTCAAAATTTGACCTTTCCTCGACGTTTTCTTGTCTAACCGATGTTAAATTAAAAACTATAAAATGTAACTGGATAAGCGCTTGCGTTAATTAGTTTTTTGAGACAATTGGTCGATCCGTTTTTTTACTATTGGCAGAAAAAGTGCAAAAAATATCGTTCATGTTTTTGTCAAAAATTCTTAACCGTTTTTGCTCAAACTATTCGATTGATATCATTTGGAAATAAATGATTTCTGGCGAAGATCGGTCAAGTCGTTTCTTTTTCATAATAGATTGTCATTTTTTTGCGATTTTAGTGAAACTTTGCCATGACGATAGAGTTTCTGCTCTAAATGAACGTACTAAACTATATTGAGGCCTGCGATAAGCTATAGTTTAGGCGCCTTAAGCGCTTTTAATAATTCTCCGTGGTATGTATTCGGCTTGTATTTCGTATGTGTTCGTGTTCTAAAGTGTAATATTCATACCATT